AATTTAAAGACCTCTTACTAATAAATCAAACTTCCTGATGTCTTCTTCCTAATTTACAAATGGAACACATGCTCAACTTTTTAATTTTTACTACAGAAAACAATGTTATTAAAAGCACCCAGCATTTCAGCCTACTGTTCAGAAAGTCTAGCTCATTAAATAGGTGAATGACAACATTAACTTCACAGGCAGGTCTTGTGACTAGGGAACAGGCAGTATGGGAGAAAATAATATTCTCACCGTCCTGCATAAGCAGGATATATTAGGCACTGAAATTTCCCAAATTACTTTCCTCTCCCTCTTTGAGGCAAACCTGTTCTCCAGATCCTGCACAGCTCTATGATTGCATTCAAGATCCTGCTCAGTCTCTCTTACAAATTGAGCATCAGAATTCTCCTCCACTTCCACCAATTCTTGGTGTAGCTCACATCTCAACTCACATTTTTGGAAATGCAATCTAATCCAAGGGTCCCTAGTCTCTGGTGTATAGGTTTTTAAGATGTTTGTCCTTCAATTTTCACCAATGTTAGTAGAGTTAGGGAGTCAGAAAAATTCTTTGTATACATAAATCACTTGTGGTTTAAATTACTACACAGATATATATCAAACTTTGCCTTTCATTTCCTAGACCATATGTGTGTGCATGTATGGGGAAATATATGTTTTAATTTTACATGAAAGAATCCTAGGAAACACTTATTTTTAAAAAAAGAGCTTAAACCTTTTCATGTTTTGAAGCTAGAAAAAATTTGTAACATTTTCCTGTTTATGCGGAGTGAAATTCTTCAGCAAGTTAAAATAAATGATGAAAGTCTTGACATTTGATAAATTGTATTATTCACAAATCAGTATGTCAGCAGATGGTAGTAATGAAGACTGTAACTGATGTTTCCCAATGTACTACTTTCTTAACCAAATAAACCATCTTGCAAATAGATATAAATGACTGTAAATAGTCTTGGGCAAAATGTAAACAAGCCAGTGAAAGTTAGACAAACACACACACACACACATTCTGGGTCAACAATATATGCTTCCTTCTCTATTAATCTTTGTCATAATGTGAAATCAGAAGTTCATGAGTACACTACTATTTCTTGATAAGAATATGAAATTGCTCTGAGTAATCAAAGACCATTTACTGAAACCAAGCAGAAATTCATAAATATTACACTTTAAAAATATAACCAAATTTTTTTGGCACTGGGAATCAAACTCAGGACCTTGCGCTTGCAAGGCAGGCGCTGTGCCACTGAGCTGTATCCCTGCCCAATATAACCAAATTTTGAAGTACATTTGAAAAAAAATTTAACAAAGTAGTATTAGATCTATAACCATGATTTTTACCCTAACCATGCATATAATGTACAGTATTCTCAAATTATTTTTGTTGTTATATATAAATTATGCAGAAAAATAATAACAGCATAAAGATGGGAGATGACTAAATCACAGTATAATTAATAATAAAACTTTTTAAAAATAGTACTGGGGATCAAACCCAAGGCCTTTACACTGAATTCTATTTACCCCCAGCACTACCCTCACTGCCTTTTAAATTTTTACTCTGAGACAATGTCTTGTCACATTGCTAAACTGCCCAAGGTGGCTTAAACCTGCAATCCTCCTGCCTCAACCTCTCAAAGAGCTGGGATCATAGTGGTAGTTGTGCACCACTGTGCCTGGCTAAAACCTTTTTGTATTTAAAATTCATTTAGTGAACTTGACACACTGGCCTTGATTCCACAAAAGCTTAAAAGACTTTCCAAATACTTTTCTACCTATCTTAAATCAATTTCATCACTTAGAATGAATGATTCATGTAATATTAATGAAAAGTAAGAGACTAGAAGCCCACCAGGGAATACACAAATGAATGTACATAATATACACACAAGCGTATATATGAACCTATAAACATATTGAAGAATCCTTAATGTCTTAAATTTTATTTCTATTTTCCAGGTGAACATAGATATGTAGTACAAATAAATGAATAATAAAACATAACTACCTTCATTAACAGTATTAGGAAAGGTGAGAACAAAAAGAAGTAATTGTTAGCTTTCCAGTATAAAAAATATTTAAAATTAGTTTGTCCTACTGATTTATAATTGGATGGCATACACCACTGCATCAACAGAGCAGCAAAGGTGCAAAGACTGAAATTCAAACCTCTAATTAAGTAATGGTTTGACAGTTTTAATGTCCTGTACCTGCTTGACACCATGACTCAACAGGCAACCTCAAATGAGAATGCTGCACATAGTATTACCTTGGTTATAAGTAACAACTGATTATGTTTAGAAAACAAAAACATGAAGGTTCAAAAATCATTGGACCTAACAAAAACTTGCACATAATTTTAATCCTTCAAGAAAGAGCAGTTTGGACTACTTTTAAAAAAGGTTTCTTTAAAAAAGGTTGTAGATTTTCCATCCAACTCAGCTGTTACCTCAGCTTCTCCTCAGGGGAGAAGTCTTAATTACAAATCAACAAAACAATGAATTCAAACTTGTTAAAACCACTGGGTAGATGCTTGCTCCCAGTCCGGTTTTTACATCTTTTAAAAGGTCAGTGCATCCACTCAATAACACAATAGTTATCTTTGAAAATGCTTCCTTTTTTCTAGGATTGAAACATAACATGTGATCACTTAAAGTTAAAGTGAACTTTAACAACTAAAACGTTCATTACTTTTGAAATGGTGACCTACTAAAATAAAGATAATTTAGTCTTCTTTGCGGCCAAAGTCACAAATCTTTCTACTTCTTTCCTGACCATTTAAAATAGTTTCCTAGCTCTAAAAGATTCATGAACATATTTATTACTGCTTTCTGCATCTGTCTTAATTTGCTATAACATTACACATTTACCTTAAAAAATGAGAACTTTTTTCTTTTGCTAAAAGAGCAACTAATGCAAATGGAGCTTAGATATAAACATTACCAAAAAAACAAGATGCCAACACAATTACACGTATTTAGTAGTTAAAATGAATTTTAACAATTTATATCTGCTTGCAGTGTTATAAATGACAAAAACCCAGCATTCATATCCTTCATAATAAAAATTTATTCTGCACTTTAATACAAAGACTATGTTGCATAAACAGAGGATTTAAAGCTATAGCAGAGTAGCTGAATGAAAGGAAAATGGCAATCTTTCTGGCTCCAGTAGATGCCATTCCCTATCACACAGTGTTTCCCACTCATAAATACATGACAAATACTTCCTCAATCATTTTTTACGAGCAGGGATGCACAGGGGGTAGTCAATGGCTAGCTTGAGGGAAAATAGGAACAGCAGGCGGCAGAAACTGTACAGAAAATGGCTATGTGGTAAATTCTCTTCTGGAACATCACTCAGTTACCCAGTCTTTGATCTTTCAGCTACAATTACACTAACTTCCACAAGAACTGGACCCCCCCAAAACACACCCCAACCTCAAACCAGATCATTAGTTATACATAAAATCTACTAAAACCTGGTTTTGTAAATGGGATCATTTATACCTCTACAATGTTATAAATTAAAATTTGTTACTTACACAAGAGCTAAGTTTCAATTGGCTATAACCATATCATCATCACAACTGGTCTCACAAAAACATGGGATGTCTGGCGACAGCTAAATCACAGACTGGCGTCTCCTAAGCAGTCTGTCTACCATTAGGGTCTGGGAAATAGTATTTACTATACAATTAGAGCCAGGGAGTTCTACCTGTAATCATCCAAATACAGGTGTGAGAATCCCCTTTGGGCAAGGAAACTGACTCATCCCTTTTCATGTAAAACTTTGATGTCTGTATTGTTTCACCCAGCCTCAGGAAACCTTACCATTTCATACTACCATGAGAAGATTTATTAACTGAGGTCAAATAGTAAATTTAAAAATTCCTTCCTAAAGGTAACAGTTTTTAACACATTAATCATCAATTTTATAAGAATCTGAAACAAGACAGAACTGATTATTTTAAAGTTAATTACTTGCTGCAGGACACTGGCCAGTCTGAACTACTTTTATTATGTTAAATTTATACCTTCTAGAACACTACCAATAAAGAGGTTAAATTCGGCTTCCTATCTGGAACAGAAAATGTCTTATAGTAATATCAACAGGGCATTTTTAGTTGCAGTAATTTCACAGAATTTATTCTAATGATTTATTGGAGTTAACCATCTGACATTAATTATTGTTTTGGCTTCTAGTCTATGAATGTTTATTTTTCAGTTTAAAGCCTTCTCACTCTTTGATATCATATGGAAATGAGAATTTTTAATGGAAAATTGAAACCATGTGCATCTAAGTACTTAATGAAGTACAGGGAGAAACCCACAATATATTTTAGGAGAATTCAGATATTTTGCTTTGGATAGTTTTGATTTGTTTCTATGACTCAATAGTAAAAAATGCTGAGGGGCCAGCGAGGCAAGTCAAAATGAGCACTATGCCAAATGTGTTCATGGCCACATGTATATATGATTTGGGGGAATTTTTAAGGAAGAAAAAATAAATCTTGTACATTTGTCATGGGCTCCATGTCAAAAATGACAAATGGATAATGGTTTTTACCTTGGTACATTTTAAAGTATGTGAAAAAGGTATTCCCTCCAGCTTTTTTTTTTTTAAAACATTCTATCTGGATCTTAAAATTTATGTCCAGCTTAAAAGCCAAGTGGATATTTTAAAATCACTTACACAGAAATTCCTAGCTAAGAGTGTTATTGCTCCAAATACACTTATTCTTATGTAATAACAGAAATAAAAATGCATAATATGCGTAATATAAAATTTTCTAATTTAACTTATTTTAAAAAGGTGTCTCAATGTAAATCAATTAGGAAACTAATTTTTCAATGTAACATCAGGCAAAGCTTTTTCACCCATTTAAAAATTTTCCTAAGGAAAAGGTATTAAAATCAATGAGTACATATATATGTTTATGTTTGTGTGTGTATAGACATGTATCTCGGTATATATGAAGAGAAAAAACTTACCATTTGTTTTTCTTTCTAATGTAGTCTTTTTCAGAAAGATTAACCAAGTAGACCATTGGTTTCGAAGTCAAAAATAAGTGTTTATTCAACACTTCAATCTAAGTAGGAGATAAAGAATTCCTTTTAAAAGTTGAGTAAATAAGAGTCAATCACTAAATAACCTGAAAGCATGTTTTCTTTAAAACAAGTAGGTATTTTCACTTTTATAATTCTTGTTTCCAAAAGATTAGTTGTTGTGAAATATCAAGACTAAGGGATGAAAGAAAAAAAATAAGCCTAGGAATAAGCAACTACTTGCAGAAATAAAAGTACATATATTGGTAAGTATAAAATTATGACAAATCTAAAGTGTTCTCTAAGAAGCCAAAGCAAAGCGGTAATAGCATGATATTTATAGCTTACCTCTTTGTCATTCCAATCATGATAGAAGCGAACAGGTTTCTTTTGATCTATAACCCAGGATTTGACTTTGCACATTATGTCCTTTCATGATTGAAAAAAAGAGAGGTAAATTCAAGATGAATACTAAGCATTTAGATAGTAAACATTAGAAGATTTCAAATCCTCAATAAAAATAATAAAGGCGAACTAAGCCATACAAATAATTATTTTCAGTATCTCATTAAAAAATACCAAAGAAACAATGTTGAGGCATTAAAATTTTAATACATAAAATGAAGATACTTGCAAAAGCAGTAACAGTCTGAAATATTTAAAAACAATTCAGTTACATCAAAGAAAAATATAAGTTAATATTTCAACATCATCTAATGATGCCACATGCAAGATAAATATGGTTTTAGGAAGTGGGGGAGCACATAGTGGAGACAGACTAAATTTTTTTCCTTAAAAAGAAAAATAGACAAAATTGAGTCTATTACTGATGATCTACCCTTCAAATATTAAATCAACTGACCAGAGCTCTTTTTCTTCTGAATTAATTTTTTGCCAACACCTTCTCCCTGCCCATTTCTCCCGCAGCTCCCCCACCCAACCTGCCAAAGCCTCCATTACACAATGGCAAGAGCCCTGCACTGGTGACCTCCAACCAGCTGCATTCACTTTCAGAACATCTCTCTCTGCAGGAAATCTAAAGGCCTTTTAGTTAGCCAGCTAGTGTGCATTCAGAAGGAGTAACTGCAGGAAGAGCCCAATGTGCTTTGTTTCTCTGGCCTTTCTTCACAGAAAGATTAATCATCTGTGAAATGGAAACGGCAAACAGCAAGTGACACAAACTGAACCCTTCAAGCCTTTCCTCATCAGTTTTGTGGTTCTGAATCTAAAAGCTGCGTGTGGCAAGGTTCTCCTTACAGGCAGGTGTTAATAAAAGGCTCTTGGGTCTAAAGGTCAAACATAGCTCTCCCAGAAGAAGCGCATTTGAGAGTCATCTGGGGCTTTTTGTTGTTGTTGTTGGGTTTTCTTTGGGGGGGAGTTGGGGGTGAAAGATAACTTAGGGATATACTTTAAATATGAATTTCTCAAAATTTATTTTAAAACACAATTACCATTAATAAAAAGTTCTTGAATTTTCATTGAATATATTTTAGAATGCTATAATTACTCTCCTATACATGTCTACTTGTATAAATTATCTCAATATTCAGTATACTATCTTTCTAAATCTTACTGTTACCAACAGAAAAAATAAGGAAAAAGTCCTATTACCTTAGATCCTGATTTGAAACCCTCCAGGAAAAGGACTTCCCACAGATTTTAACAAGGAAGGGGCAAGCCGAAAACTTTTAATGAAATCTAACATGTTCTGCTTAAGAATAATCACTTTTACTCTTCTATAACTGAATTTCGCTCATAAATGTTTAAAAGTGGCTAATATAACACCATTTCCTACAAGGAGAAGATCAAAGTGCTATATTACAAATGCATTATGATTAAAAAAGCCCTGTGCAGCCTTGCTATTAACTGTTCTTTAAACCCTAAAAGGCTTCCCATAGATCTCACTTGGCACTGCATATACAACCTTTGACAAGTAATGTAGACCATTTTTATTCATTGCCTAAAATTGTAGGCAATTATGTGCGTCACACTGGCCACCTGCAAATTCTGAATGCCTGCTCCAGTTGTCAGTGCAAAAAACTAATGTCGGAGGGGATTAATCTAGGGGGAGAGAGTCCTCTTTAATGGCTCCAGCAGGTGAAATGGCCCAGCTGGTTACTATGATGAGTGGCCAGAACAGCTTATGTAGAGACACGCAACAAGATTATACAAAAGAAGGAGAAAACAGTGGTACCATCTTATGTTTGGTTCCCCTAGTGTTTTTTTTTTTTTTTCAATTAAAGAAAAGAAAAGAAAAGAAAAGAGACAAAAGAATGCCAATCCAAAAATAAGGAAAGGAATTAAATTTTAGTCATACTAAAAAAGTATAAAATACTTCTGTAACTATAAATAATCTTACAAAACCAAATGGCCTCAATAAGTGCTGATCACTAGTGAAGGAATTTCAGTATTTCTCTTTCATTTAAAATTAACTAGACCACTTTTACATATAGAAATCTTATCACAGAAGCAGTCTGGCGTTAGCCCCTGGCCCACATATTAGTATATTATTACACATTAGGAACACTTCATTTTTAAAAGAGAATTAAACAATATATTCTCCAGCAATACAGTCCTTGAAGCACATTTAAATCTTTGTGGAAAAATTTACAAACTATTACCTAGTTTTGAACAGTTGGAAGTAAAATATTTTGTGCCCAGTGCTATCTTAATTATCCTTACAAAAGCTTTACCAACCAAAAAAGGGTATCTTAGATTTACTAAAAGTTGTCAGTTTTCCTTAAGATAAACCAGAAGTAGCTTGCTATTAGACAAGATTATCTTAAATAACTGGTTGGCATATGGTACAGTTTTAATGTGTTATTTTCTAATATAATGTAAAAATGTAATTTTACAAAAAAATTGAAAGATGTTATACTCTATCTTTAAAAAAAGTATAAACATGAAAGAAAACATTTGTACTTATTTGGATTTAATGTTTAATCAGCTAAGTGAATTTTCTCCCTCTTGCTCAAATGTACATATAAAGACTACAGTTAATTAAACTTTTTTTTTGGGGGGGGGTCTTTTTTGAGACAGGGTCTCACTATGCAGTTCAGGCTGGCCTTGAGCTCACTTTGTACAGCCCAGGCTAGTCTCCAACTTGCAACGACCCTCCTGCCTCAGCCTCCGGAGTGCTGGGATTACAGGCATGTGCCACCACACCCAGCTATAGTTAGTTAAGCTTAATACCATACAAACTTAACACTAAATATTTATGCATTAAGAGTTACTTTGGAAATTGGACTGTTCTGATAACTTTAGCAATTTCCTCCTTTGAATTCTTTTTAATTTTTAATTTTATTTTATTTGGTGGTGGTATTGAACCTAGGGCCTTAAAACTAAGCTATATCTCTCCATCTTTATTCACTTTTATTTTGACACAGGGTCTCACTAAGTCACTAAATTGCCCAGACTGGGTTTGAATTTGAGAGCCTGGTGCCTCAGCTTCTCAGAATGCTTGGATTATAGCATGCCCCACAATGCCCAGCTTGAAAATGAACTCTATACGATTATGGAGCTATACAACAAAAATTCCTGGTCACTTCTGGGTCAGACTGCAGTTACTGGAGTATATTAATCCAAGAGGTATTAGGATAATGCTTAAATCTGGGGAAAAAAAATCCCAGTTCTATCATTTACTGGGTCTGTGACCTACAGGCCTAATAAAATGCAGGTGAGGATATGCACTTGTCTGTGGGTTGTGTAGATCAAAAGAGATAATGTATACAAAGTATTTAGCACAGTTCTTAGCACTGGAGTTCTTAAAAACTGGGCAGGTGTCACTGTTGTTATTGTTGTTGCAAGATTAAGTACCAATGATCTACAAAGTTTGGCAGTATTCTCTTGGGGATGCTGCTTTAAAGCACATGTACATCTCCAATCTATGTAACTGTTCTCTAGTTCCTTTTAGATATCTGAGTTTCTAACAATATTTGCTTTCTTGGTTAAGTCTCAAATTAGGCTTCACATTTTTGCATTCTACAAGAACTAGTTTATGTTGAACAATTATCTTTTAACTGCAAAGAGACCTAATCCAAACTCACTTTGAGTATCTTGCTCTTCTGCTTTGATGAAAACTTCACATTTAACTTTAGAAATGCTCTATTTTCTTGATGTATTTTATTATTGTAATTCTTAATAAAAACTGTTAATATATTTACATTCACAGTATGCACACTTTGCCTAAATTCCCATAGCTGGTAAACAGCTGAAAAGCAAATTCAGGTCCAAGTGAACTGAAAGTTCATGTTCTAACTCCCTGACCTACTGGGACTCCTTACTGCTTTTTTTAACTGTACCTTGTTTAGCCTAGACATCCCCAAGGCTGTTATTCAAAGTCTTTATTCTCACTTGGATCATCAGGGAAATTTAATATTTTTATCTATTATATTGGTACAATATTTTTTATTTAAGGCACTGTGAATTGAAACCAGGGCCTTTGTACTGAGTTACATCCCCAGCCCCCTTTAATTTATTGTTTTTTTGTTTTTTGTTTTTTTAAGAGTAGGTCTCATTATGTAATTCTGGCCTAGAACTCTTGGAGCCATTCCTACCTCGGCCTCCTGAGTGCTGGTATATGGGTACAATATCTGTTTGTCAATTCATGTATCACAAAAACAGTAGTACTCTGTTTCTCTTTGCACAATAACATAATAACCCAGTCACTTACTAGACTTTTTCTAGACTACTTCTAGACTTCTTTATTTTGGTATACTTCAGTTTATTACCAATGTTGTTAACCTAAGATCCATAAATACATTTCAAGGACTTCATAATGCCTACAAAGTATGTGCAAAGTTCTATGTTTACACACTTCGGAAGGAAGACAGAATATATCTTCTAAATGCTTTTCAAAAGGATCATGATTCAAAATTCCAAAAACCATGGTAGTCAGTGACTCATAGTTAATGATTCATATATCCCAACGGTAGCCATGTAAGTTAATGTTTTAGGTCCACATATTCCCAGACCACAGAATGAGACACTGATCTAAAAGCTGCTTTAGCCAGTCTGCACTCAAAATTTATCTATATTCATTAATAATATGATGATAAAAATTCTACCAATTTCATTTTTATTTAACATAATTCTAGTTAAAATCATAACAGGCAGACATTATAAACTGAATATATCATTATTCTAAAAGCATTACTTAAGATTAAAAATGTTTAGAGAAAAAAACCTTGAATTATCATAAACCATAAACTAATTAGAATACTGTGACCCTGCACAAGAAGAGAGATACAGTATAAATTAGACACAATCTAAAAAGCCATTAATTGGAGATTCACTAACAAGTTACGGGACTTTAATAGACTACTTTGCATCCACGGAGACAAAATATTTCTAAATGTTCAAAATATACTAAGTGAAAACTTAGGCTCTGAGCAATGGAATACAGTTGAGAACATGATGTCAGCATCAGA